GCTGGGCTGCCACGAGTCACTGGCGGCGGCGTAGGCTGCAGTCCCTGTGGCAGTGGGTTGCCATGGGCTACCGTATGTAGCCAGCAGCCAGCGTGAGCAGCCAGCAGCTGCTGTGAGCGGCCGTCCAGAGGCCGGCGACTGATCAGCCTCGCCCGGGAAGAGTGCAATGATGGTGCCAACTTGGGCCAGTGAAGCAACGTCCTCTACAACTAGACTGAAGAACAAAAATGACAGCAACTTGTCTGTTCCCCTTCCCCCAATTCCCCAATAAAATCTTAAAAAGAAAAAATCTCTTTGTATTTAACCTTCAGCGTTTTAATTATTATATGATGTATCTTAGTGTGGGCCTCTTTGGGTTTATCTTGTTTGGGACTCTCTGCGCTTCCTGGCTTTGTATGTCTATTTCCTTCACCAGGTTAGGGAAGATTTCTGCCATTATTTCTTCAAATAGGTTTTCATTTCCTTGCTCTCTTCTCCTTCTGGTACCCCTATAATGCAAATGTTGGTATGCTTGATATTATCCTGGAGGACCCCTTAAACTCTCAACTTTTTGGATTCTTTTTTCTTTTTGCTGTTCTGGTTGGGTGTTTTCTGTTACCTTATCTTCTACATTGGTGGTTGGATCCTCTGCTTCAGCTAATCTGTTGATTCCCTGTAATATATTCTTCATTTCTGTTATTGTATCCTTTATTTCTGACTGGTTCTTTCTATTTTTATTTTTCCTATCTCTTTGTTGAAGTTCTCCCTGAGATCATTGAGCATTCTTATAACCAGTGTTTGGAGCTCTAAATCTGATAGATTGCTTATCTCTGTTTTACTTAGTTCTTTTTCTGGAGCTTTGCTCTGTTCTTTCATTTGGGACATGTTTCTTTGTCTCCCCATTTTGGCTGCCTCCCTGTGTTTGTTTTTATGTATTAGGTAGGGCTGCTATGTCTCCTGGTCTTAGTAGAGTGGCCGTATGTAGTAGGTGTGCTGTGGGGTTCAGTGGTGCAGTCTTCCTGGTCACCTGAGCCATGCACTCCAGGTGTGTCTCATGTGTGGGTTGTGTGTACCTTCCTCTTGTAGTTAAGCCTTGGTTGATAATTGCACATCAGTGGGAAGGACTGACCTTTGGATTCACTGGTTGTGAGGACTGGCCTTGACTACAGTGGAAGAGTTGTTGTGCAGGGGCTGACCCTACAGAGTAGGATCTGCCTCAGCAGGACTCTGCTGTCTGCCCAGCACGCCCCTTGGGTGTTTTGTACTTGGAGATGGCTGGGTGATGCTCCATCTTGTTTTGAAGCTGGCCACTGGGGGCGCCAGCCTCAGGATCACCTTGGAGGGGATCCGCTGTAGGTCAAGTTCAGCCACCACCCACGTCCCACTAGGGCCACCTAGCAGGAGCCATAAAGAAATCTGCAGATGGCTACTGCCCGTGCTGTGCTTGGAAGCCCCTTGAGAGGCCAAGCTGTGTACCAAGTGCTGGCTTAGGGCTACTCAGCTAGAGGCACAGGATACTCAAGCCAGGTGCTGTTTGTCTGAGTTCCATGAACCTTTGAGAGACCCTAGGAAAGTCTGAAGCTTGAGCCAGGGCAGACAGTCTGCACAAAAAAGCCACTGAAAGCAGACTGGGTATGCCTGAAAGTTGGGAGGGACCAGGGATTCGCTTGTTTGTTTTTTTTAATAAGCTTTTTTAATGATGGTCTCTATCCCTCTATAACAACTGTCTTTTTGGGAAGTGTGATGGCTAATTTTCTGTGTCAATTTGAGTAGGCCATGATACCCAGCTATTTGGGCAAATACCATCCTAAATGTTTCAGTGAAGGTATGTTTTGGATGGTATTAACATTTAAATCAGATTTTGAGTGGATTGTTCTCCATAATGTGGTAGGCTTCATCAATCAGCTGAAGGCTTTATATCACCTGCTCCGAGGAGGAGAAGTTTTGTTAGCATGCTACCTTTGGAGTCAAACTGCAGCTTTTCCCTGGGTCTCCAGCCTGTTAGCTTCCCTGCAGAGTCTGGATTTGCCAGCTTTCACTATTGCATGAGCCAATCCTTAAAATACATCTCTCTTTTTCTTTCTATGCACATCTTGTTGGTTCTGTTACTCAGGAACCCTAATATAGGCAGTTCACTTTTAACCCTTCATCGGGCGCAACTGATCTCACAGATTCATTGTACACAAATTTTCAAATATGAAATACGTCTTTACTGTACTAAGTCACAAACATGACTGGCGATGGGTTATGGTAGAGGGGGAAGATACGGAAGCAATGAGTCATGATACTTAACTGTTAGATATTTGAAAATGTGTGTGCAGTGAGTCTGTGAGATCAGTTGCGCCTGACAGAAGGTTAAAAGTTTCTGCTGCTGTTCACTCTGTACTTTACTGAGTTAAAAAAAAAAAAGTGATATATTTAAGGCCTAATTTATATATAGTTCCATTAGTTTTGATAAAAGCATACATATACCCATGTAATACCCAAGACAAAAAGTTTCGATCACCCATAAATTCCTTATGTACGTTTCTACTTAATCTCCCTGACCCCGAGTAACAACCACTCCTCTCATTTTGCCCATTCTTGAACTTCATAGAAATGGAATCGTCCAGGGTGTAATATTCTGGGTCTGGGTGATTAAGCACAATGTTTCTGAGATTGAGCTATGTTGTTTTTGAGTATTAGTATTTTGTTCCTTTTTATTGCTGAGTAGTAGTAGTAGTCCATGAATATTCCATGTTTAGCATTGTCCTGTTGATGGACACCTGAGCTATTTCTGATTTGGGGCTAAGATGGATAAAACTGTTATGAACATTCTTGTGTAAGGCTTTTTGGGAATACATGTTTTCTACTTCTCTTGGATAAATATCTAGGAGTGTAGGTTCAGAGGGTAAATGTTAAAATTGTTCCGTTTTTCACTCCCACCAGTAGTATATGAGCATTTCAGTTGCTCCACATTTTCACCAGTATTAGCTGTTGTTTTTCTCATTTTATCATTTCTAGTGGGTGTTTAGTAGTATCTCTTGCATTTCTCTAATAATTAATGATGTGGAACACTTTTCCAAGTGCTTATTGGCCATATATCTTGCTTTGTTTGTTTCTTCATATCTTTTTCCCTTTTAAAAAACTGGGCTATTGACTTGTGTTTATATATTCTAGATAAAAATTCTGTATCAGATATATGTGTTATCAAGATTTTCTTGCCTATTCATTTTATTTTTTTATTTTAAATTTTTTTTTAGCTGAGCCATCCTACCACCAGTTGGCAGCTCAGTGGCTGCTCAGCTTGGGCTGGGAATAGAACCGTTGTTGCTCAGAGCTCAAACTCTTTAGCGAGCTCTTAACCAACTGAGCCACTCGGCTGGTCCCCTATTCATTTTCTTAATGGGATCTTTTGATGTGCAAAAGTTTTAAATTTTTATGAAGTCCAATTTATCAGTTTTTTCTTGTGGGATTAGTGCTTATGTGTCCTCTCCAAAAAATCTTGCCTATATAGAGGTCACAAAGATTGATTATTATATTTTCTTCTAGAAACTATATAGCTTTAGTTTTTCATGTTTAGGCCTATGCTCCACCTTGAATTAACTTTTGTCTACAGTGTGAGGTAGAGATCAAGTTTCTTTTTGGTAGTTAATCAATAGAATGAAGTAATTATGGGAATTAAGTGCCTTAGCTGATACTTTTGAAGCTGAATACTTTGTTCTCTAGGCTTTTAAAATTTAATTGGAAACAAATTTATTTTGTATCTACTGGTTTTCCTGTTCATGCTAATAAATTTTCTAATTTTATTTAATCACCAGCCTATAAAAAGGAAGCACAGAAAAATCCAAACCTTTCTCCATCCTTTATGCACAATTTGGAAAATTACAGTAAAATTCAGGTTCCTGCCAGGCCAGTTGCACATCTACCGCCATGTTTTGTGATTGCAAATGTCAAGAAATCAGAAAAAATCAGACCTGTATGTGTGTAGGTCTGTTTGTACATCAGTTACCACACTTTAAATTATGGAAGTTTTATAGTTTAATGGTTGGGAGAATTAAGATCCTTTGTAGTTTTTTTCAGTATTTACCTTGTTATTTTTGCATATTTGTTTTCCCATATGAATTTTAGTATTAACTCTAATATTAAACTTATTGCTAATTGGTATTTTGAGGAATATAATAATAAATTTATAAATTAGGGAGAAATTGACATTATAACGTTGAGTCAGCCTAGTCATGAACTGGAAATGTCTTTCATGTGTTCAAAATCTATTTTTGTGTCTTTCAGGAGTCTTACAAAATTTTCCTCATCTAGGTTTTGTTGCTATTATAATTGAGGTTTTCTCTACCAGTATGTCTTCTAACTGGTTTTATTTTATATTTATGAAGGCAATTGACTTCTGTATGTCAATTTTATATCTTGCTACCTCACTGAATCTTTCATTTTTTGAGTTAATCATGATATTCTTGGGTGCTCTAGGTATACCAGCAATTGCCAAACTTTGCCAGATAGTAAATATTTTGGGCTTTGCTATACGAGTATGTCTCTGTTGTAGATTTTTTAAACCACTCTTTCAAAACATAAAAACCATTCTTAGCCTGAGAGCCATACCAAAACGGACCTTAGGTATAGCTTGTTGACTACAGCATATCATCTGCAAATATACTTTTAGTTCTTCTTTACCAGGTCTTATGCCTCTAATTGATTTGTCTAAACGGCTAATGCTTCTAGCCTAGTGTAGAACAGTTGTTGAGATAGTAGCATTCTTGCCTTGTTCTGGGTATCAGTACAAAGGTCTCTAGTGTTTTCCCATTATGTAAGATACTAGCCTTTGGACTAAGGCATAATATTTTTTATCATGTTAAGCAAGCATTCATCAGTTGTCATTTCTTGAAAAAAAATTTTTTTTAAATAAGAAATGTTTTTTAATTTTGTAAAGGGCTCTTTTTAGCCATCTGTAATCAGGATTTTTCTTCTTTGGATATTTTAATGTATATTCTATCAGGTCATGGCCTATCATTGTGATGTTGGATGTTTGCTAATATTTAGAAATTTTGTATCAATACTCAATGAATAATATTGGACCATGTGTAGTTTTGTTTTCTTTTGGGCACTCTATCAGATTTAGGTATTAGTGTTATACATTATAAATATAAGAACATCATAAATGTTATACATCATGAAAATGGGTAAGTTTTCCTTAATTTTCAATGCTTTGGAATAGTTTATGGATCACTGGAACTATTTGGTTGAAAAGTTGGCTTGAATTCCTCTCTGCAGCCACCTGGGCCTGGTGCTTTATTTGTTGGGTGGTTTAACTTTTTCTAGGGAAATGGCTCTGCTTAAGTCTTACAGCTGTTTTCAGTTTCTATATTTTCCTAGAAAAGCATCCATTTCATCTGGGTTTTCAAATTTGTGAGTATAGAGGTCTGCAAAGTAGCCATTGTGATTTACAAATTTTTTGTTTATTTTTCTTATTTCTCTTTTTCCATACTTGTGTTTGCCCCCCTCTCCTTCCCCCCTATCATCCCCCCGCCTTTTTCTTAACCAAGTTAGCTAGTGGTGGTCTTGTTATTGTTAATTAAAAACAAAACAAACTTTTGATTGTTTAAGGTAGGCCTGTTTAGTTCTATGCTGTTTCATTGATTTCCTAATTTGTGTTTTCTTTTTGTTTACTTTGTTGTTCATTTTTGCTTGTCATTGTATTCTTTTACTGAAAAAAATGTTTATTGCTATGGGTTTTCCTCTTTATTACATCTTTACATGTATCCAATAGTTTGATATGTAGTATTTTTTTTAAATTTCCATAATTTTTATTTCCTCATTCATCCATGATCTTAAATAGATCTTTTATTCCCAGGTAGAAGGCTGTTTTGTTGTTGGTAATTTCAAGCTTTATTGAATTATGATCAGTGTTATTTGTAATATTTCAATTTTATAAAACTTTGTTTCCTTTGTGACCTAGTATTTTATTTTTATGAATGTTTCATGCCAACTTGAGAAGATATATCCTGTATTATCAGCATGTAAAGTTTGACTGATAGGGGTCTACTTCACTGATCATTTTTAGATTTTTTTTTCATTGTTTTTGTTCAACTTATGTGTCTTGTATTGAGTGGAATTTTAGTCTCTTATTTGTGTGTGTATCTTCTTGCATCTCCTGTAGTTTTGCTTCATAAAGTAGTTGCTATGTTATTTGGTGCACAAAATTCGTAATTTTTATAGTGAATTAGAGCTTTTAGTATTAAAGTGTCTTTTTACTTTTAATGTTTTTCTTGAATTCTATTTTTTTCTGATATCAAAGAGGTCTTTTCAAAATTGTGTCCATTTGCCTGAAATACCTTTGTTCATATCTTTAGTTTTACCCTTTCTGAATCTGCTTAAATATGTTTCTTGAATATAGTACATGATTAGGTCTGGCTTTATAAGCCAAGTTGAAAACTTTTTTTCTTTTAGTGGCTGAGCTAGGTCTGTTCACATTTATTTTTATAACTGATGCATTTTTCTGAACGTTGTCACAGTGTTTTATAATTGTGTTTTATTTGTTCTATTCCTTTTTCTTGAAGTGTCTTCTTTGTCTTTAATTAAAAAATATTTTCTGGTACATAAGGTTTCTATTTTTGTTTTGATCACCTATTTTTAACTTGTACTATCTGCATCTCAGGTTTTAATGGCATTCTTTAACTCTGTTAGCCTATACAAACAATAGTTTGCTAATACTTTCCTCTTTCCTTCTCTCAATGTTAATTACATGCAACATCTGTACATTAGTCTTCCACCGTCACCTCAATATTTGTCTTAGTAATATACATATTTGGATATTTTAAAGTCCTCCAGTATCTTCTTTTGCTCTAGTTTCTACAGTTGCCTCTTGGTTAGATGAAGCTTATCCCTTGATTTCTGAAGAAAGGCTCTCTTGAGTGCTAGGTTCTTGTATGTTTAAATGACAGGGCCAAGGCTTAAACCCAGGTTTTCTCATTGTAAAATCTGTGCCTTTCAGCTGCTCCTCAGTACTTACCCTTGTTGATAACAAGCTGAAAGTCCAAACTGGGCAACTTCCATTAGGTTTGTAGTGAGTGTCTTTAAAGTAATAAAAGACATGGACTTCATAGTCTGGTTGGGCTGTGGGTTGTTGTTTATTGATACATTTTAAAAGATTGTTTTAACTGATTTTTCTTTCCTCTTATGTTACAGGACCAAGCCATATGTCATTCTATGTTCGAACTCACAAAGGGTCAACGCTTTCTCAGTGGTCTCTTGGCAATGGCACCCCAGTCACAAGTAAAGGAGGGGACTACTTTGTCTTTTACTCCCATGGACTCCAAGCCTCTGCGTGGCAGTTCTGGATAGAAGTACAGGTGGGAATTTCCCAGCACAGCTGGTATCATTGATCAGGTTCCCTGGTGGTATTTGGCAAGAATTAAATACTTGGACTCAGTACTCTGCCTTCCTAGAACTAGAGAGTTAACTAATTTTCTCTACCAGGTCTTGGAAGAACAGCCTGAGGGAATAGTCACTGTGGCCATCGCTGCCCACTATCTTTCTGGGGAAGACAAGAGATCCTCCCAGCTGGATGTGCTGAAGGAGAAGTTTCCAGACTGGACGTTCCCCTCTGCCTGGGTGTGCACCTACGACCTCTTTGTGTTTTAATCTTGTGGATGAATCCACGCCGGGGGGATACTTCCTGTGACACGGTTTCTCCCTGTGCTACACGGATGTTTGTAATGTAAGTTAAGTCAGTGGATTTTAATGAGCATACTGTCAGAGCGCTCTGTGATCTACCACTCTTTAGGCCAAGCACCGAAACGGCTACACTGCGGGGCAGTGATGCATGGCCTTCTGGACACTTGAAAAATGCCGATTTTCTGGCACTTAAGCACATGTGGGTACTGCCACTATACGAACATGTCACTTTAGATGAAACCTTAAGGACAAAAGCCAAGAAACCACTTCAATAGCTGTTCCCTTAGGATCATGAAAGATGTTGAAGGTAATGTGAGACCACTGTTAATGAGACAAATGGCATTTCCAGTTAAAGCCCAAGACCATTAATTGTGTCAGTGGATGGTGGGTAAAACCACATTCACTGGAGTAATATTCACCTTAGGTCATCAGAAAGCTATTACCATAAGGTCTGGGGAAGAACCATTGGGCCTTCGCGGGCCCAGCCTGTGCCGAGGGCTGCACTTCTTCAGGCAGCCTCTAGACCAGCGGTTCTCAACCTGTGGGTCGTGACCCTTTTGGGGGTTGAACGACCCTTTCACAGGGGTCACCTAAAACCATCGGAAAACAAAAAGATATTTACATTACGATTCATAACAGTAGCAAAATTACAGTTATAGAGGAGCAACAAAAATAATTTTATGGTTGGGTGTCACCATAACATGAGGAACTGTATTAAGGGGTCGCGGCATTAGGAAGGTTGAGAACCGCTGCTCTAGACTGTGCTCTGCATCTCTAGTGAAGCCCAGGACCCCTCCTGTGGAAGCCTGTGCTGACTGGTGACTCCTGGCCTTCTGACAAGTGGTCACTAACATCCATCATTGTGATGCCCTGCTGAGGTTTCCAATGCCTGTTTCCCTCTGAAGTGTATCTGACTCCCCCTCTACCAATTTGAGCATTTGTCTAGCTATATCCCCTCTGGGTTTTCAGAGATTCTTTTGGTTCAGCTTGTGCAAGTAATACAACCTTCCTTCCTTCCTTCGAGCACTGAGGTCCCATAGTGGCTATTCTGGGGAAGGGGGCTTGGGAGTAGCTGAGCATTTTATATTTATACTGTTTGTTTTGCAGAAGTTTTCTGTTATCCAAGGTTAATCCTTCAGGGCATAATTTTATTGATGCACGAGGTCCTTATTTTTGTCTGTTTTCCAGCCAGTTGAACAAATAAATTGCTTTCTCAGTAACTTAGGTCTAGCAGAGCTGGCTCTCCTGAGACGTGAGGTGTCGCTTTTACTGGAATGAGATTGCTGTACCTACAGCTGTTGCGGTTCAGGTCCTGCATTAAGGGCAGTCCTGGGACTTTAAGGTGCTTTTCATTTTGAAGAATATGGCTGTTTAACTTGTGAGGCATATCCCAGCAGTGGTAGGGTTTGGTGAGATTAGTGGTAAATTTTGCTTCTTTTTTTTCCATTAAGAAATGCAAAAAGAATTTTTTTTTTTGAAAAACTTTCGACTTTTACAGTAAACTTAGAACAAAAAGAACATTTTAAAGACAAGCCATAGTAAAAATTTAAAAACTGGCACTTGGATCCATCGATCCAAGTAAGTGCATCACAGGAGGAAATTCTTGAAGCTGCTTGTGCGACATGTACAATGTTATTTCTTAATTATGTTCCTCCTAGTGCCTGCCTGATTTGTGACTCTTTGAAAACCTGACTGGGCCCCCACACACAGCAGGGCTACAAGCAGAGCCGAATGGTAACATGCTGGTTGTGACACGCATGGACACTGGACCCATTCCTTTTCTCTTGACTTTGTAGAAACCATATTTACTAGTCTCAACTGCTTCAGGTGTCTAGCTCCTACCACATTTATCTGTGAGGCCAGAGGATTTCTGAATGTGTCAGGTGGTACATAAAGTTTGCAGTGTTTATAGCTTGTATAGAATCATAATTATAAATCAGTAATATCGTGAATTTCAAAATATAGTCAGTCCTTCATATCTGCAGGTTCCATATCCATAGATTCAAGTAACTATGGATAGAAAAATACTTGGGGAAAAAATGTTACGTTGTTGCTGACATGTAGGTGGCTTCAATGGCTGCATCTGTTCTAAACATGTACAAACTTTCCTCCTAGTCATTATTCCCTAAGCAATACAGTATAACAACTATTTACGTAACATTTACATTGCATTATATATGATAAGTAATCTAGAGATGATTTAAAGTAATACGGGAGGATGGACATAAGTTATATGCAACTACTACTATACCATTTTATATAAAGAATATGAGCATCCATGGATTTTGGTATTTGAGGGAGGTCCTGGAACCAACCCCCCCTGTGGATTTTGAGGGATGACTGTACAGGCATTTTTCTGTCCCTGTGGTTAATCTGAAATTGATTACTAGAAATTTTTTAAAAGGCAAAATCCAAGTGTTGAGGAAGAAGAGACTTCGTATGAAACACAAATAGTTCTGTGATTTTTTTTTTTTTCCTTTGGGAAGAATGTAGTTACTCCTTTTCAGTAATAATCATGGTTTTCTTTTCTAAACAATTCTATTTTGTTTTCTTTAGCATTATAAAGTTTTGATATTATGCAAGGTCAGTGACAAGATGCTCACTAATCTCTGGGCATGCTTAATATCCTGGGAGATCGTTTTAATGCCAGAAATGGTTAATTACAATATTCAAAGCTTTGTTAGTAAGTAGTCAGTGAAGTTAAAGAACTTATTAGGTACCCCCCCCCCCAGTATCTGAGCATTTGAATAACTCATTTCTAAAAAGGTTATTTCCTACAGAATTTAAATGTTAAGTAGCACAGTACTGCACATTCAGGGAAAGTAGGAAGAATTGTGATTTCAAAGAAGTTCTTTTTTAAAATATAGTGTCTGACCTATGAATGATTGTTGCATGAAGCATTTGTTTCCACAGTTTAGCAGATGTAAATAATAAGCATGATAGGATTCCTAAAATGTTGCCACTGATGGGGCCATAAACCAGCCTCCTGCCTCAGGAAGCTACAGGAAGAAGGATTATGTCTGTCCATTTCTTTTCACTGGTTTGCTGAAGATTAATTGTTGCCTTACAATGTTACTGAAATAAACTTTTTAATGTCTTAGTATCTTTAACAGAAAAACAGATCTTTATTGTTTTCTTGCCTTATATTTGAAGGGTTATTTCAGGTCTACAGAGCCTTTTAAAGCCTTCTTTAAAAAAATCTGTTAAAAGACCTAGATGGATCATGTGGGATAAGTGCTATTTTAGTGGGTCATGTGAGTAAAGAACTCAACATGGACATGTTAGGTTACTTCAACGGGAATCCTTTCTTGCTGTGTAATGAGACTGTGCATGGGAATTACACAGAAATTAATGACCTATTATTATTTGGTAAATGTTGAGCTTCAGCATATTTAATAGTTTTAAATCATTTCCATTGTCAAAGAAAATCACTGAAGCATTAATAAAGGTGGATGTTCTTTTGTTGGCAGATAAGGATAGGAGGGAGGGAAGAAGAAATTCTCTTTCAGCCTGAGAGTGACTGACTCACTGCTCATTCTAATCTCCACAAGGACAGGGCACCACCATCCCCCAAACAGAGCACCCACATCCCTGTGTAAGTTATTTCACTTTCTGAGTGAATTCTCTCAGAACAGTTCAGAACAAGGCGAAACAGTTGAACAACTACTCTTAATACACCTTACCCCCTTTTAGGGCCAATAAAGCCAAAATGCACTTATGCCTCTTTATGTCTGTTTTTGTTTAAAAAATATCCTAGCCAATTTTGAAGTACATCAATATATTTGATACTACTACTGCCTTAGTTGATTTGTAAAAATATATAACATGTTGGTAATTTCTTTTCTCCAAGTTTGGTTCCACACTACGATCAAGTGAGATTTATTCTGGGAATGCAATGAATGCAATACACCTTATTAACAAAATAAAGGACAACCACCATATATGATCATCTCAATAGATGCATAAAAAGTTTTTTGACAAAGCCTAATACCTTTTCATGATAAAAACACTAATAAATAGGAACTTTCTCAACCTGATCAAGGTCATCTATGAAAAAACTCACAGCTAACATAATTTCCGATGAAAGACAAAGCTTTCCCCCTAACACCAGAAAGAAGACAAGGCTGTCCATTGGCTGCCTCTATGGAATACTGTACTGGAGGCTCCAGCCAGGGCAGTTTGGCAAGAGGCATCCAGATTAGAAAGGAAGAGTTAAAACTCTAGTTGCAAACGACATGATTGTCTATATAGAAAATCCTAAGGAAGCTACAAAAAAACTATTACAGTTTATAAATGAATTCAGCAATGTTGTAGGATCCACTATCAATATACAGAAATCAATTATATTTCTATATACCAACAAAGAACAATTCTTTTTGCAATAGCATCAAGAATAAAATAGGAATAAGCTTAACAAAAGAACAAGATTTTTACACTGCAAACTATAAAACTTGCTGAAAAAAATTAAAGACGACAAATGTTCATGGATTGGGAGGCTTAATATTAAGATGGTAATATTCTTCAAATTGGTCTACAGATTGAATACAATCCCTATTAAAATCCCATCTGCCTTTTGTGTGCACACACACACAAATGGACAAGCTGATCCTAAAATTCATATGGAAATGCAGGGGACCCAGAAGAGCCAAAAACAGCCTTCAGAAAACTCACAATTTACACTTTCAAAACTTCCTACAAAGTACAACAGTGTGGTACTGGCATTAAGAATAGGCTTATAGATCAATGTAGTACAAATGGACAGTCCAGAAAAAACCCCATATGTTTACAGTAAAGTGATTTTTGACAATTCAGTTGAAAAATTTTTTAGTAAATGGTGTGGGACACTGAACATCTACATATAGAAGAACAAAGACCCCCTCACTTGATACCACATACTAAAAATAAAATGGATCAAAGGCCTAAATGTAGGAACGAAAACTATAAAACTCTTAGAATTAGAAGAAAACATACCCATTAGTACCCGTTTTTGCTAGCTGAAAGAAATCCTAAGAGGATTTTAGTTTTTATGAAAAAAGCTGTTACTGTACTAATGTAGGTCTTTCAAAAAAGCCAAGTGGTGTAATGCAAATTTTTCAGAAAGTGGTAGATACTATGCTTTACATTATTTTGGCTTATGAAAGGTTTCATAGGAACACTCTACTTTCAGATAGTGGGGGAAACCTGTATCTGATAAGGGTCTAATATCCAACATATATAAAATCTCCTGCAAGTCAACAATAAAAAGATAAATGACCCAGCTGTGAAATGGTAAAAGGATGTGAACATTTTTTATACAAAGATCTACAAATGGCTAATCATATGAAAAGACAGTCACCAGGGAAATGCAAAATCTCAAAACCTAAGAGATACCACTTCATACATTAACCCAGATGGCTATAACCTAAGACGACAATAACGTGTTGAAGGTAGAAACTGGAACCCTCCTCCACTACTAGTGGGAAGGTAAAACAGTGGCACAGGCACTTTAGAATACGGTTAGGCATTTCCTCAAAAAATTAACCAGTTATCAGCATTTGCACTCCTAGAGAGAACTGAAAACATGTCCACACAGAAACCTGTACATCAATGTTCGCAGTAGCATTATGAATAGTCAAAAAGTGGAAACCGGGCCGGCTGAGTGGCATGTTGGTTAAGAGCTGGCTTGGGACGCCAGAGGGCCCCGGTTCAGATCCCACATATGAGGGCCAGTGACACTGCCCTCCACAGCTAAGATGCTGAACAACAGCTCAACCTGGAGCTGGGCTGCCGTGAGTCGCCAGCGACGGTGTAGGCTGCAGCCAGTGTGAGCGCCAGCAGCCTCAACGAGCAGCCATCCAGAAGCCGGCGACTGATCTGTCTCACCCGGGAAGAGCGCAATGATGGTGCCAACTTGGGCCAGTGAAGCAACGTCCTCCACAACTAGAATGAAGAACAAAAGAACAGCAACTTATCTGTTCCCCTTCCCCTAATTCCTCAATTAAAAAAAAAAAAAAGTGGAAACCACCCAAATGTCCCTTAACTGAGTGGATAAAACAAATGTAGTGTATCCATAAAATGGAATATTATTCAGCCTTGAAAAGGAATGAAGTACTGATACATAAAGATGAACCTTCAGAACCTTGAAAACATCATGCTAAGTGAAAGAAGCCAGACAGAAAAAGCCACATATTATATGATCGCATTTATATGAAATGTCCAGAATAGGCCAATCCAGAGATAGAAAGCAGATTCAGGAATACAGGAAAATAGGAAAAAGTAAACATTATTTCAAATTCCATCTAGTAGAGATTTCTAGTCTCCTCTACACTTACATATAAAATTGTTTGATGGAAATCATATGGTATACATGATTTTATATTTTTCATTACATTTTGAACATTTTCTATGTCATCAGCATGGACTGTCTGTTTCAATCTTGTGTTGTCAGGCATCTAGGATGCTGCCAACTCTTTATGCTCCTATTCTAAGTAATTCTGCATACAAATAAATTTTAAATCTATCAGAATTTCTAAGTTTTTTCATACGGAAAATTCTCAGAGGTGGAATTATAAAACTGAAAGAATATATTGGTGGTTTTTAATACATATACTTTTTGCTGTTAAACTGAGATGGTGAAAAAACAGAAGTTCATGTAATGGTTTTATTGCCCTGTACCAAGTAAAAAAAATACACATTACAGAAGTAGCAGCAACTTTAATTATAAGCAAAGGTTATGTCTACCCCCAAATGACTTGTTTTGGTATTAGCAAAGAATTTCAACTTCAAATAGTTATACTGAACATTTAAATTCACTGGTTAAAATTATGGCTTAAACAGTTGATATGTGAACCAAACAAGGTAAAATAAAAATACGAATTTTAAAAAATTAAAGCATATATAACAAATTACCAAAGAGAAATTTTCCTTAAACTTGCCTTTTTTTTCTTGGTCTTGGGGCCACCCATTCCAATTAGCTGAAAAACAAGTATTTTACAGAAGAAAAGATTCATTTATTGCATTAACCACAGGAATACAGTTAACTTACTTGGGGCCCTGCTTTGAAAGGTGCAAGATGAACTCAGCAGCACATTAGGATATTGGAAAAGATCACAGCTGTTTACAATGGTAAATCATTTTTATTGACTGAATATTCACACCAAACACAAAAGTAATGCTAGTTCTTCTCCTAATAGACTAGAACAGGAGAAGAAATTTCAGTTTAGTTTCTCACTGGCCTGCATGTACTCACATGGAAACATTTTCTAAAGATTTAGGAAAAGGGGGTTGAAAACAAAGCCTTAAATCAAAGTAGCACCAGGAAGACCAGGGACCCATAATCACATACTCCACCCACTCAGGAGTTTCAGTGTGTGAGTTTATTGCACTGCTAATGTAAAAAGTAAGTGATAGTAAATTACCAAACGCAATAATTTAAAACAGTTTGATGAATTTTGAACTAAGCAATTTCAAAATGATTTTCGTTTCCCTTCAAAGGAAACCTGGCTAGAACTAAATCTAGCCATTTACTTTAAAAAACAATGATAGAGGACCAAGTTTTATTTTTAAACTGTAATTGCACTATGAGAAGAGAGGCTGTTTTACATAGTGGTATGGATTTGGTCCGCATCAAATACATTGTTATAAAAATAAACAAGTTTGTTTTTGTAAAAAATAACATTGCATTCCTTTGTTCAAATTGCACAGTACAAACAAGCTATCTAAATTAATACTGTTATAAGGTAATTAGAAGTACATATGTGGATATGTGTTCAGTCTGAAGCAATTAAAGAGTATGTAGTTATGTTTCCATAATGTATGAAAACTAAAATTTAAGTCATATTTAGAAATACATAAAATACTTTAAAAGTTACAATGAAGAATGCATTCTTTACATACTAATTTTTAGTTAGCAGTGATAATACAGGATTCAGCAATCTATTTACATAAAACTCCATTTTTATTCAATTTACAAAAGCAATAAATAAGGAACTACATTAATTTGCACAAAACCTGTTTCATTTCATGATCAGTGTGATCATTTTTGTTCCTTTATGACCAAGCCAATAAACCTGTCTCCTTCCTCTATGAAGACTGCTCATATCTGGAAAGAAGGGTGAGCACTCTCTTTATTCCAAGAGT